CATCTGTACCTCTGTAATTGATTTAATTTAGATACTCTATTGCAAAATATAATATTTATTCCACCTTTTGAATTTCCCCCAATAAAATTTTGCTATTCTCATACTCTCACAATCAATATTGTCATCTGTACCTCTGTAATTGATTTAATTTAGATACTCTATTGCAAAATATAATATTTATTCCATCTTTTGAATTTCCCCCAATAAAATTTTGCTACTCTCATATTCTCACAATCAATATTGTCATCTGTAATTGATTTAATTTCAATAAAGAACTCTATTGCAAAATATAATATTTATTCCATCTTTTGAATTTCCCCCAATAAAATTTTGCTATTCTCATACTCTCACAATCAATATTGTCATCTGGAGTTGATTTAATTTCAATAAAGAACTCTATTGCAAAATATAATATTTATTCCATCTTTTGAATTTCCCCCAATAAAATTTTGCTATTCTCATACTCTCACAATCAATATTGTCATCTGTAATTGATTTAATTTCAATAAAGAACTCTATTGCAAAATGTAATATTTATTCCACCTTTTGAATTTCCCCCAATAAAATTTTGCTACTCTCATATTTTCACAATCAATATTGTCATCTGTACCTCTGTAATTGATTTAATTTAGATGTAGAATTCTATTGCAAAATACAATATTTATTCCACGTTTTGAATTTCCCCCAACAAAAAAAATTTCGCTACTCTGATATTCTCAATAATATTATCTAATTTAATTTCGATTCGAGAATTAAATTGAAACGTCATTATTCCCACGCAACATATACTACCACGACCCCTTTCTATCGGTAGACGGAGATTACGAGACGTCCAGTGAAGGGATAATTCGTGACGTGCAAGAGAAACAAGTTAAAGATATACATCCGACCAAGTCACGAAGAATGGATTCAGAGTGCGACGAGGAGGCGGAGAATTTCAAAGGGGGAAACTCGTCGGAAGATTGTTGCAATCAAAAAAACACCTTCGTGACGAACGTGCTGTCCAAGTCCATGCCCGTGTTGAAGAGCACATCGTCCAGGGAGAATAACGAGGAGGAGGACAAAATACCCATGTCCGAATCCTCTTTGGCGCGTCATAAGATGATGGGCAAGATCGAGACACGAATTGGCTCCCTCTTATCCTCGACATCTAACGTGAGCAGGTCGACCGATACGTCTAGAATGGACATAATCGACGAGAGTTACGAGCCCAAGAAGCAGGAGTCGAGGACCACGCTACCCATCCTCCAGGTGATCCTCGGCCTATCTTAACCTAACCCTCTTCCATCCACAGATTTCTCTCTGCCTATATCTTACTATTATACACCTTACCACCGAATAAGACAAAACACGACTGTGTTAAGAGTATAATAAAAGAGCAAGTGGCAATCAGAATCTTGATTGATCGAGATTATCCTCACCTCTGTCGATCTAAGGTCTCTTCTAAGGAAGGCCTATCTTAACCTAACCCTCTCCTATCCACTGATTTCTCTCTGCCTATATCTTACTATTATACACCTTACCGAATAAGAAACACGACTGTGTTAAGAGTATAATAAAAGAGCAAGTGGCAATCAATCAGAATCTTGATTGATCGAGATTATCCTCACCTCTGTCGATCTAAGGTCTCTTCTAAGGGAGGGCCGAGAATTTCCTCCAATTCCTAATTTTTCCTAATTCCTCTCTCTCTCTCTCTCTTTCTCCTAGGACACCAGCACCGATCTCCAGAGCAGCCCCAAAGACGCGACGTCGTACGAGTTATCGGAGGACAGAGACTTGAGCCAGAACAGCCAAGAGAGCAAAGAGAGCAAGGAGAGCAAGGAGAGCAAGGAGAGCAAGGAGAGCAAGAACAAGGGATTCTTGAACAAATCGAACAAAAGGTTCAATCTGGTGAGCGCGGCGGGGATGTACGGGAACGACGATCTGATAGGCATAGCCGAGAATCCCCATCCATCGATCAGATCTTTCTATTTCCCACCCATCCCTGAGAAGGACATTTCCGGCGTACGGACGAGGCCACAGGCGCGGATCAAGAAGGGGATGGACGCTATACTGAAGATAGACAACGAGTTGAACCCCCTTCAGCACAAACTGAACAGCATAACGGACGAGTTCCGTGCCCTGATCAGCAAGGATCATTATTCCTCCCAGTACACTTTATCCCCGGACATATCCGGCTGTTACCTTCACAGGGCCGAGGCGTTCGATCACGACTCGAACATAATAAACAACATAACCCGCCTGATAAAGCAGGAGCACAGGGCCGATCTTCGAACGGACTATTACACACCCCTGTACCCCATGAGCAACAAGAGCGTATCCATTAATCAACCTTTGTTCTCGATCAAGGAGTCGGTGAGCAGGAACATGGGCGCCAGGAACAACGACTCCTTCTCCCTCATGATGAACTCCCCCGGCTATTCCAGATCCGTGGGAAGGGACGCGAATATAGGGAACGCGAGCAATTGGACGCACGGGAACTTGATCGACAAGGGGAACGATTACGTATCGAGGAAGAATTCTTACGTACGATTCAGGGAGAATCGGATGGAGAAGGATCCGTCCGGTTCCCTGGTCACCTCGATCAGCAGCTCCCTGTACAAATGTCACGCGAATCCAGATTTTCAAAAGCCTCAAACCTCGTCGTACTACGACGAGCGAGAGTCGCAAAGCGGGTGCAGCGACTTTGGCCACAGGCAGGCGAGGTTCGTTCACGGGAGGGCGATGCACCCGAGGACTACCCCGCTCCTCGTCCACACCTCTTTCAAGAACGTGAACAGAACGTTGAATTTCGACGACCAACCGGTCCTGTCCCGGGCGGAGTCGTGGATGGAGTGCGCGGTCGCTTCCTGCGCGTCTGAGAAAATGGCGCGCGGTGTAGGCTCGCATACATCGAGGGAGTCGATGGGTGTGGTCACGTCGAGGAAACAGGTGGTCGCGACCCAGGACANACCGTCACCTCGACCCCCGAGGGATTCGTGATAAGCGTGAACACGTCGATGCACAGCCAGGACTTGGGCTCGTCGAAGAGGGATCAGAACGTGATGACCTCGTCGTACGAGGACGACGAGGCGAGGAGGATCGACGAGGAACCGTTGGATCGGAAAGAATTTCGCGACCTGGACGTTCAGTGCTCGGGCACGGATCTGACGGTGAAACGATCGACGGAGATTCTCGTGAGGTCGTCTGAATTGATGAGGAGCGGGAGCAACGTGTCGTCGTCCAAGAACCTGCAGAGCATCGAGGAGAAGGTGGTGATCGTGCCCATCTTCTTCACGGACGGGATCCCGGAGCCGTCCAAGGCCTCCCTGTTCAATTTCGCCAAGTCGAGGCGGCACGCGCACAGGCACGCGAACCACTTCGTCAAGCTCGACAGGAGGTCGTCGTCCATGAGCCAGAACAGCGTCTACTCGGTCCGCAGCGGCGAGTCGTCGGCGATCGAGTCCTCGTGCCTGGGCCAGAAGTTGGCCAACAGGAACAGCGGTTTGTCGGTGTCCTGCGTCAGCAGGGGTGGCTCGTCGCTCCGTTGCAGAAACCACCCGTCCCACGTGTCGAACACGACCAAAACCCTGTCGGACTATCAGCACAGCAGAGGCAGGCACAGCCAGTCCAGCAAGGCCCACTCCGAGTCGATGAGGAGAGCGAAGAAGAAAGTGATACAGGGGATGATGAGCTCGCCAGAGGAATTCCTTTCCGACACCTGAGTGCTTCCCCTCAATTGGAGTTGGAAGAAAGAATTGGATGCTCGCGTCTCTCTTGTGGATCGATGTCTCTCTTAAGGATCGTGATCGTGAAACGGTTAGCGGTATCTTGGATATATGTATATATCCCTGCAGTCACGAAAAAGAATTAAGAATTCCCGTTTTCACCTTTTCTTGGTGGGAAAGGTGGTTCTGGCTAACTCGTTGCGACATATTTCATCGAACTTGGAAGGAAAAGAGAAAAGAAGAAACAGACGGACAGGAAGAAGACGCATTTTTGGAATCGTGCATTACAGTGTCGTTAGCTACGACTATAGTCTTTACGCTGTATATTGTAGATAAGCTTGTGGCGTCTTTTGTATACAGTTTCTTTTATCGAAACAAATATAACTATATATATATACATATATATCTAATCGCTCGATTTCGTCCTCTCTGCGAAGTAATTTTATTTACAAGAGAATATATTTTTCTTTGAATATCTAATATCGCTCGATTTCGTCGTCTCTGAGAAGTAATTTTATTTACAAGAGAATATATTTTTCTTTGAATATCTAATATCGCTCGATTTCGTCGTCTCTGAGAAGTAATTTTATTTACAAGAAAATATATTCGTTCTCTTTGAAAATGTGAATATCTAATCGCTCGATTTCGTTGTCTCCGAGAAGTAATTTTATTTATAATTATACAATTATAAAATTATAATTTACAATTATAATTTTATTTAC